GAGGGAGGAGGGAGGAGGGAGGAGGGAGGAGGGACGAGGGACGAGGAGGAAGGAGGGCTCCCGGGGCCGCGCTCCCTCGTGAACTACGCAGTGTCCGCGCTCCCGCGGCCACGATCCCCCGTAAATCACGCTGCGATCGCGCCTCCAGGGCCGGGATCCCTCGTCAATTGCGCTGCGTCCGCTCTCACTGGGCCAGGGCCCCCTGTGAATTGCGCTGCGGGCGCGCTCCCAGGGCCGCGCTCCCTCGTGAATTGCACGTTGTCCGCGCCCCCAGGGGCAGCATCCCTGATAAAGTGCGCTGTGTCCGCCCCCCCCAGGGCGATGATCCTTTGTACATTACGTTGCGTCCGCGCTCCCACGGCCACGATCCATAGTAAATCACGCTGCGCCCGCTGCGTCCACCCTCCCTGGGCCACGGTCCTTTGAAAACTACGCTGCGTCCGCGCTCCCAGGGCCGTGCTCTCTCGTGAATTACGCAGTGTCCGCGCTCCCGGGGCCAGTGTCCGCGCTCCCTTGTAAATTGCATTGGGTTTGCGCCTCCAGGGCCAGGATCCCTCGCCAATTACGCTGCGTCCGCATTTCGCTCGAGACATCCTCAACACATTCTGCACAACAAGCGTTTCGCTCGAGACATCCGCAACAAACGATAAATATCACTTGACCTCGTTATTTACCGAACGGAAGTTCAAAAATCCCATGTCGTGTGAAACATCCTCAAACAAAATCAGCCTGCCCACCTCGACTTCGTTTTGTATCGGCGTTCAAGATTTTGTTTGCGAGGTACATCGTTTGCGGAATATTCAAGGAAATATTTTGGAATCTGCACACGAGAGACGCCACAAACACGAGGGAGGATCTTGTACGGCCAGCGAACCAGCAACTCATGCTCCAATCGCCGGCTCAGTGTTTTTATATCTCTAGCACGCTGGCGCGCCCCCGAGATATACAATCCGAGTAGACGTTGACGACCAACCCGACAGCACGGCCTGGGTTGAGGCCCAACACAAACAAATACAAATACAGCCAAAAGAAATACAAAACGTTAGAGAAACGACAAAAAAACAAAATCAAGTCGGTGGCGGAAGGCTGTGGGCCCGTTCGGTGTGCAACCAATCTGTTTTCAGAACATCAGTTTTGAGTCCGTTCGGCCGCCGAGCCGACTCAACACGCACAAAGCCTGACCCGCCGAACCGGCTCATTTTCACATGTCGTGGACCGTCGAATGGGTGCGAGTTCATTCGGCCGAATGTTCCATTCGGCGAACTGCCACCCCTGCCAATGCAAGAGCATTGTGGTTTAGACCTCGCCAAACCGGCTCACTTCAAACCGGCTCACAAGAGAATCTGGGCGTTAATTGTTTCACACCTGGCGTTTTCGCGCGGTTCCGGGCCCGGGGCCATCACAGGTCGATTCGGCGCAAAAATGCCGCAGAAAGATCGGGTCGAGACCTTAAGCCTTTGGGAGTCTACATCATGGTTCAAAGATCATGACGTCGGGGGGTTGGGCATCGAGGGCCTCGCCCTTGCAAATCTCCGACGGTACGGATGTTTCGAGGTCCCAGCTGTGTGCCTCAATGTCGGCCTCTGGGCCCTGTTATCGGGCCGGGGCCATCAAACATGGACACGGGACGAAGGGGGACCCTCAGATTTGGGCACTGCAATTCTTCACGCTTCGCGTATCCCCACGAGCCCATCGTCGTCGTCGTCGTCTTGCCGCGGGCACGAAGGCCGCGAGGCGGGCCCCGCGCGAGAGCGTGGCGCGAGCAGGGGCCGCGCGGCGGAGAGGGGGAGAGAACCGCGCGAGGTCCAGGCGAGGTCCTGGGGGACCGAGGCAGGGCCGCACTGGTCTGTGCTGCAGGAGGGAGGACGCGCCACCGGGAGGGGATGGAGGATGCGGCGCCGGAGTAGGATGCGGCTCCAGTGCAGGGAGGGCGGGCAGGGTGGTCTCGGCCACAAGAGGGAGGGGGTGGTGTACGATGAGGACGAGTGGAGGGTGACTGTATTGGTTTGTACTGCAAGAGGGAGGACGCGCCTCCGGGAGGTGATGTAGGATGCGGCGCCGGTGCAGGATGCGGCTCCAGTGCAGGAGGGCGGGCAGGGTGGTCTCGGCCACAAGAGGTCAGCCAAGGATGGCTCCACCGGGCCGGCACAAAGACTTGCGAACGTGACGCTCCGCAACATTCAAAATGTTCTCCGTCAGAAACTGTGCTCCAAAATCCGGGTTCCCGTTAAGGCAACTCCAACACATTCTCGTGCATAAAGAGACGGACAAAAGAAGAAAGAGGAGCGACAACAAACGTTTCAAACATGAGGACGAGTGGAGGGTGACTGTATTGGTTTTTACTGCAGGAGGGAGGACGCGCCATTTGGGAGGTGATGTAGGATGCGGCGTCGGTGCAGGAGGCGGCGCCGGTGTAGGAGGGCGGGTGGGGCGGTTTCGGTCACAAGAGTGCGGGGACGGCGTTGGATGTGGACGAGCGGAGGGTGTATGATGATTCGGGGTTCGTGGTGGCTGTGGATGGTTCGGGGGAGCTTCTTTTTTATTTTCTTTTGAGGAAAGAGCCGCATGAGGTCTGGACGACTTGGCGGGGACGGAGATTGGCAGCGGCTGCGGGCCCTCTCCTGGCCATTTGCACGTTCTCTTGGGTGCGACGGTGATCTCAATGACTGCGGTAGGGTCCCGTCGTGTCGATTCGGCGGCGACCCCAGCGCGGTTGTTCGAGGTTGGGGCTCAGGATCGGCAGGTTTCGAACGATTTGCGATATCGGGAAGCCGTAATCGCTCAAGGTCCGCAGTCCGCGCGGTGGCAGAAGCCACAGCCGAAATCGCCACGACACGAATCTTCAGAATGCGCTCCGCCTCGCCGATAGGAGGAGGAGGAGGAGGAGGATCGAGATAGCGCAAATCGTTCGAAATCGGCCGACTCGGGGCGAGGACCCAGGCAGTGAAATCGCAGTCGCGCCAAATGGAGCCCTAAGATGGCGAGAAGTGGACCCGCAAACGCCACGAACGTCGTCCTCTCTCACGATGAACAGGAGCATCGAGCAGAAGGAAGACTCCTCTCCCCCCCCTCACAGTGGGAGAAATATCGCCTCTTTCGGCCTCCGATGGGCAATTGTTGGATCACTACTGGCAATCGTTTTGATAATGTCCAGGGCCGTTACATTACAAGACCGATAATCTTTAACCGCAGAACTTGGCGCATTTCATTCAATTGCCCAGATATTTCACAATTCCACTGACGAAAGGGGTTATTTCAGTCAATGGGCCCCACGAGAAGAATAGTTTCAATGGGCGGGGTTATACCTATTTGAGAACATAGTACAAATAATTCATTCTCGGCAAGCACTTTACGGAATCCAAAAAAATAAAGATCACATATGTTCAATTGCATCATTCCGCGGCAGAGATCGAGTACTGTTTCAAAAACAATGCGAGAAGAAGGCGACGACAACACTCAAGAAGAGGAACGGATATAATAATATCTGAGGGCGGGGAGAAATAATTCCGAAAATTAGATAGGACAATCGTTGTATCATGGATGGTGGCGGTCGCCTGAATTTCCTTCCAGCTATCCGGACATATGTCGCGCATTGGCATACTCTAGCAACCCATATTCCTGAACAATTTTTCGCGTGCGATGTCCGACCGGAGCCATAGCCGTTCGAAAACTAATTCGGCGACGGTTAATATGTTTTTTTGCGCATGTGGCGCCGACATTCACGACACCGGAATTTCCGCACATGAACTTGAACAAAGACGAAACTTATTATCGTTTTTTTGGGGGGCTGGGCCTCTGCATCGGACACCAAACGAGCTACCGAAACGCGCCGAAAATGGGGGCGATGAGCGCCGAAAACCTTTTGCTAAGCAGGGCCAAAGGAGGAGGAGGAGGAGGAGGAGGAGGAGGAGGAGGAGGAGGAGGAGGAGGAGGAGGAGGAGGAGGAGGAGGAGGAGGAGGAGGAGGAGGAGGAGGAGGAGACGACGACGAGGACGACGAGGACGACGAGGACGACGAGGACGACGAGGACGACGAGGACGACGAGGACGACGAGGACGACGAGGACGACGAGGACGACGAGGACGACGAGGACGACGAGGACGAGGACGAGGACGAGGACGAGGACGAGGACGAGGACGAGGACGAGGAGGAGGAGGAGGAGGAGGAGGAGGAGGCCGCCCATCGGGCCGGGCAATCCGTGTCTCCGCGCGGACCTCAAGTGCACCGACAGTGACGGCCAGCGGGCTTATCTTGACCTAGCGATCGTGCGTCCCATCTTGCAGCAGAGCCTGCAGGCCGGAAGGGCCCACACCCAAGGCACCGCTGCGAGACTGGCCGAACAGGCCAAGCGCCGCAAATACAACGGAGTCGCTGGTTTCCAGCCCCTCGGCTTCGAAGTTTCGGGAGCCATGGGCGAGTCCACCCGGAAATGGCTCGCGCAGCAAGTGCCTGAGGGCCCCGGGCGACAGGAGACTCTCAGCACTCTCCACCGGTCCATGGCCACCTGCGTGGTCTGGGAGGCGGCGCGCACGCTCATCGGCGCTGCCTGAGATAGTCGTCGGACCAGCCAGCGCGCCTAACGCAGGGGTCTGGCGGCTCACACCCCTGGGCCTGGCACCCGCGGCCTAGCACCACGACGGCACCAGCGCGAGGACAGCGCTTCTGCAGGAGGATGCGCGATGACAGCACTAGCACGAGGACAGCGCGAGGACATCAGTAGCACGAGGACAGCACTAGCACGAGGACAGCACTGGCACGAGGACAGCACTAGCACGAGGAGGGGAAGGGGCGCCGAGGAGGAGCGGCGAGGCCAAGGAGGAGGAACGCCGAGGAGGAGCGCCGAGGAGGAGCGGC